GCGGAGGTGTAGGGATGGGGGAGGGGTCATGCAGAAACGTGGGCGTCGAAATGGGCGGGAGGAGACATGACACGCCCACGTACGTGTTCAAGAATGGGCGTTTCCTAAAGGAAATGCCGCTTCCTGATTGGTAAACATTATTTATACATGTGATGCCTGCTTTTGATTGGTTGTGCAGGACGCTCCCATAGGGGGGCACACTGTCGAATGAGACAAGAAAAAAATCGGGACCACTGTAAGAGAAACTGACAAACGCGAGGAAGACCATGGAGACAGGAAACAAGGGAGATGTTTAAACAGTAAAACTAAATTATGGGAAGTTGCCAGATCGACAGCGAGGGAACAGACGTAAGAAAGACATAATGCTAGTGAAGAAAAAATCCTGCTGCACAAGTACCGCTACTCCTCCCGTCCCAACACCCCGATGCTATCCCCCGTCCCTGCCCTCGGACGCTGTCGTATCTCTTTGATTATTGCCATAATTCAGCCATCAGCACCCCCGTTTCATTCACTAATGCCACCATTAAAACCATTATCACCAACCCTTCTGTCACCCAAGACACGATTTCCGCCACGTCTTCGGCTGACACACGGCTTGCCATCAGCGGTACCACCATGTCCAGCCATTCACTGGGAAGCCCTGATTACCAATGCCACTCCAAAATGAGAGGTCGTGGGGAGAAGTCAGCTAATGCCTCGCCATTCCCCTCACGACCTCTGCCACCGCGAAACTCGAGGCCTCCGTCTCGGAACACCCGAAACCTCACTCGACAGCACTTCAAAAGACTCACGGCTTCAACAGATCCAAAACCATTGTAGAGGTTAAGAAACCGAACTGGATTTTATCTCTTTATTGTTGATGTCCCAGTCAGGAACCGCTACACCATCAATCCAGACATAACGAAGCCTCATTTAACGAGTACTTTTAGTACACTCATTGCTACGACAAATTTGAGGATGTGGATTCGAATGGACTTGCGGGTCCGACCCGTTTCTTAACGCTCAAGAAGAATCGAAGGCACACGATTTATGCCCGCACGACCTCAGGGAAAATAGTCCCACGACGTCGCCATCCCGCGGAGACTTCGAGTGAGTTCTAAAGGCATACATTTGTCACACAGAGCGAGATATCAAGCCGATATAAAATTTAATCGGCACACTTTAATAAGTAGATGTATTATTAATTTTCTGAACGGAATATACAATGGCGTAAATTAAGAAATGTGACTTCAAGTACAGTAAACATACGAGGAATAACCTGAATCAACATCTCGATGTGAATATCAGTGATAGCTGATATACATTCTTTTTATTCAAAAGTTTATGAAATGTTAAGTATCGGCACACTAAAGTTATGCAGTCGAAGAAAAAGTAATTCTCGTAATGTGTTACTGCTGCATGTACAACAATATACAACTAAATATTTTTTGCGGTTTGCTGTGATACTGATGGAACTTAACTGGTGCCCATTGTCAGTAATGTATAAATCCGAAGGACAGAAGTAATAGCAGAAAGCGTGTGTTTATATAAAAACTATGGGTTATATTTCAGCAATATTAATGAAACCACTGTCATCTGCATCACTTCATTACTAGCACAATATTAATTCGTAACATGATGATACATAATTTTCAAACAATACATATGTTGATGTTATTCTTCTCAAGTCTTTGCCAATATGTCACTTACATAAAGAGTTGCCAAAGAGTTGTTTTCATAAGGTTGCAGCTGTCTTCGTGGCGGTGGGCGTAAAACAAGCAATTTTACATAAAAAGTTCATCTCATTATCATTGTCTCTACTTTATTTATTCACCCTCAAGGTCACATCTCCGTCTGATATGCTAATGAGAGTGCAAGAAAGGCTTCGAGACCTGGGGACGCCTTCCTCGGGGCCCCCGGCCAGTCCCCGAGCTGATCACTGTTCTCTCCTGATAACAAGGGGCGTCTCACTCCACCTCGTTTTCACTGACAAAGATTGCAGCGAGACGGTTTTATTCATTATTCATGATGAGTCCATTCATAAGGGAGTGTTTTCCCTTCTCGGTGTAACGAGTTTGTGATCTCCAGCGTTCGTCTAGATGGATGGCTCTATTACATTCGGGTTTCTTCTTCGGCGGGGGGGGGGGGGGGGGGGGAGGGGAGGGGGCAGAATATTGTTGTGCGTGGGTGTAAGAGGGAGGTGTCATAGTGCCGCCGCATGATGCCACATTCCTCTTTCTCGGAGATTTATTATCCCGACACAAGGTCCAAGGCGGAGGTAATCTGGCACGCCGCACTACTCGTACAGTGCCATGTCACGGATCGTGATGAAATACAGTGCCGGAGAGAGCCACAAGCGAAACATAGGTAGGACTAAGGAGTGAGGAGGGAGGAGCCAGATGAGTGACGCAGACCACGACCCCAAAGTCCGCCTCACGTTCATTGAGAAACCCGAGGGAAGCCCCGCCCACTTCCATTGAGACCCCGCGTCCGAGGGTATAAGACGCGGAGACCCGGCTCGGCCTCCTTAGTAGTACCTGAGTAACCGCAGAGGAAGCGAGTACTTGTTGTGCGCGCCAGGCCTGCCAAGCTACCTGCCATACCCTCATTACCTGTCGCTACCTCTCATTACCTCCCACACGCTTAATTACCTTTTCGTACCGGACTCCACCGCTTGTGACTGTGAGTACTGTGTGACGCTGCTGTGAGCAAATAACCACCACAGCGCCCTGCGGAAAAACCTGCACACGATGTTGGCCCAGCTCTCCTGTGACTTGTTACTGACGGTGTCGACGCTGGTGCTGCTCGCGCCCGAGCACGGCCACACCTCCAGGCTCCCGGCGCTCGAGCTCCCGTGGCAGCAGGAGGACCACCAGCAGGTCCTCAGCTCCAGCTCGTTCGACCAGGTACCTGCCTACAAGGTCTTCTACCAGACAGGGGTGAGTACTGTGATAACATTTCTCTATCTCTTTATTCATGTATTATAGTGCCATTTCATTGCCATTGTTTAGTTGCCGGAGACTGTCCCCTGGGCTTCCTTGCGAGTGTATGCGAGAGAATACGGTTATCTGTCATAATAGGAAAGCATTTCGTGTAATTTAGCCTGTGAAGCTAGACGAAACAGGAAAAATATATATCACGAATATTTGCAAAACAAATGTCACTTCCCGTCCAGTCCATCATGTGAATACCATCCGTATGTATGAACTATATGTATCGACTATAAAACGCAATAAAGCAGCAACGTGGGCGCTTGCATCACAGGGCCCCAAGCGGAAGTTGCAGTTGTCTATCGTGGTCTATATAATTAGTGTGTCATAGAAACAAGGGGACGCAGTTTGTTTTGGCGCTCGTCGCCGGCGTAGCAGCTCGGGCACGAAAAACCGTCCTCACTCAGGTTTGCTTCTTGGGACGTGTCATACTGCAACACGCACTCGGGCTCTGTTGCACTTTGCACTTGCAGAATACGATGTCAACAATGGCTCTTGATTCAGTTTGCTGGGTAGATGGGCGATCGCTTGTCCCTTCACCGTTCTAATCCCGATTGAATTGATTGAGTTGCATAATGTGCGAAGTGGCGAGCTTGCTGTTCTGTTTCTAAATAGGTCGGGGTTGATGGGGAGGGAGTGGGAAGGAAGGGAGAGGGGGGGGGGCGGGGTAGACCTGGTTCCCGCCGCTGTGCTGACTGCGATTGCGATGCTGGGAAGTGCGAGGACGGCTTTGTAGATGGAGCAGGCCAACAATTGTTTTGATAATTGTGGTTAACGATAGTGATGGCGATAATGATGTTGACAAGAAAATGGTTATAATGATATCGATAATAATGCTTGTCAAGATTACTTTGTTAAAAGATAATCATTGTACTGATAATACATTAGCGATAATACAAATAATGATAACAGGAACAATTATAATGTAATACGAATACTATAATAATTATGATAATAATATCAATGATTATAAAGACAATTGCAAAAATACCCTTAACAGAATTTTTATAAAGTTTGTACAATGATTTCAACAATAACCAACAATGTCGACCTGTCACCAAACGGAATGTTATCATCACATCCAAAATAGTCTTGCAAAATGCATTACCTTCCGAAAGTGTCATTACAAGTATCATAAAAATGGTTATTTGAACACATTGCCATCATCACTCGTCATCTTGTAAAAACGGAGATAAAAATATCGCTTTATAATCCCGGTCCCTCATCTGCCGTGTTCTCCCATGCCCTCTTTAAACGGTTAAGATTGCAATAAATCGTGCAACAGTCGTTAAACGTACACGTGGTCGTGCTAGGGGCGCTGGTCGTTCCGTGCAAACACACACACACACACACACACACACACACACACACACACACACACACACACACACACACACACACACACACACACACGCTGTTTTTCAGCCGCGTCTTTGTCTCTGATTGAGTCCTCCTCTTAACGATGGTCTTTTTTATGATTTATTATTCCTTGGTACGGCTGGTTCTGATTACGGGAGTGTGGACAACTGTGTGTGTGTGTGTGTGTGTGTGTGTGTGTGTGTCTTCGTAAGAGCGGAGGTCGTGGACCCATCCTTTATCACCTCGATGCCTTTCTCTTGACAAAGGATTTTATAGATTCTCCTTTTTTATTATTTATTGTTCATTCTGTCTCTTATTTTTTGTTGTTTTTTCTGGTCTTCCGTTTTTTACCTCGTCATTGGGGATGAGTTTTTGTTCTCATTTTATCGGCACATTTACTATGTTGTATTGTCATGATTCTTCTCTCGCTATCCCACCGAGAACTATTTTGTAATCTTTCATCTTTCCTGCTTTTTCCTAAGCACCTCTTCCTTATTCTCTTTATTCGGCCATTCATGGTTTCTCATTTTCTCTCGGTTTTCTCTCACCCTTTCCTTTGTACTTTTTCCATGCCCTACTTTTTTATCTCTTCTCCTTCATCCTCTATTTTGCATTTTTTCTTACCCCGATCCCACTTTGCTCACTTCTCATTCACCCTCTGTTTTGCACTTTTCCTTATCCCCCGTTTCTCTCTCGTCTCCTTCGCCCTCTTTTCTGCACCTTCCCTTACCCCCCCCCCTCCATTCACGCCGTAGACCATTCTCGGTTCCCCCTTTCTCTCTCCTCATCATTCTCTCTTCCACCGCACCCCCTCCCCCTTATCCTTCTTTCTCTCCTCCACTACACTCTCTTTTGCACCTCCTCTCCCTCCCCCCCCCTCCCCCGCCGTCGCCCATCCTCGGTGTCCCTTCGTTGTTAGACCTACGTCATGGCCACCTTTCCCCCTCCTCGATCCTTCCTTATTATACTAAACCGCCAGAGCCGCAGCCTCCGCCAAGACCCCCTTCAAGCTGCTTATAATCCTCATTGTTGCCGGATTTAAGCCAACCTCCAGCTTACCGCAAGCTTAAGCTTACGGGTATCAACCTAGACTTTTCTTCGGCCGCGAGTCGGGGTAAAACGGTTCTTATGGTCACTGCTCCGAGAGGTGATTTTCTTTTGACGAGAAGGGCCTTCCAATTTGTCCAACACCTGTTAGTTGGAATACAAGTCCGCAATAGGAGCTCTTTTGTTTAAAGGAAAAAATGAGATTTCTTTTATATTATAGCGTTTTTTCATCAAAAGAGTAATTGCTGTCCCTCTCGCTGCTGTCGCTATCTGCTCTGCGTGTCCATCGGCAAGTAAGGCAAACGAAGATGCAAAGATCGCGGCCTCGTGGAGGGAAGAGGTAGGGGCCGGGGCGGAGGGGAAGGGGAGGAGAGGGCGTACGGCGTCCCTGCGTATCACCTTCAGCTCGCCGCTACTAATACCGTAAGCCGATCCTTCCCTTGTGATTCACTCGAGTAGAAGACGCAGAACAGCCAAAAATGTTCCTTTGCTCCCATGTTCCGGAAGTGTGTCGCCCAAGCAGAGCCGTCTAATCAAAGGCTTTATTTGGCCGTGCGAGGCAAGAACTCCTCACGCTCGCAATAATCCCCCGGGTTGTCGCGGAGATTAAGGATTTAATATGAAGGATTCCGTGTCCGTTTGCGCTGGATTCGAAGGTTTGATTTTCGCGCCCTTCTCGCCGATCACGTAGCCTCCACGGAAGAGTTGACGAGACGTGACATTCTGCGGGATTTTTTTAACGGTTGAAAAGTCTATTTCTCGCCTTGAACGCAACAGGGGACGATGTATTTGGCAAACCAACCAACGCTTGAAGATTGCAGAATTGCACGTACGCGTAGAATCGGCGCGATAAAATGCAATATACAAAGAGGCGGCGGTCGCGGCAGCGGTGGTCAGCGACTCAACGTACAGAGGAAGTGAGCGCCGTCGTCGGGGCAGTAATCACCCAGCAGCCTCATTATGCTCATATTTTACAAACTTTTATTTCTTGTATAGAACATTCCTCCCTGTTATTCTCGTCGCCTCCCGAGAAAAGGAAATCCCAATGGTCTAACGGCATTTTTCTCGCAGCATTTCGAATGGCAACTTCAGCACCCGCGTCATTTTGTGTAATCGCTCTCCAGACGAGGGAAATTATATTTATTTTTTCCTTTGGACAATGGAAAGAGGAATAAGCTTGGATTTCTCAAGCAGAGAGTAAAAGTACGATTCTCAAGGGTCGCGGCCTGGGTGCATGGGGAAAAACTGAGTTCGGTTTCACTTGGCTTGTCAAGGGTGAAAAAAATGGCGATTCCCCGTAGTTCGCTGGGGAGGGACGCACGGATCGGAAAAAATGGCGGGATATTCGCGTGTGGTAAACAGACCTAGAGGATTTGTCCTTGAAGAAGGTACACTTCGGTTCTGCCGCTCTCTGCAGTTCGTCAGGTCGTCATGTTTGAACGTTGAACAAAAGAACGTCGGTCCCATTACACATCAAGGCAATAATTCCGGAAATATTTCACTTTTTAAATAGTACTGTTTCCTATCAGAGGAGACCACATTTTTTGTCATGAAATCACGAATAAGACTGATTAATAAATTTACAGAGGAATTATACCTTTGGACGACGTAAAAATTTACTATTTTTGCGAAATAACTTTCGCATACCTCAAACAGCAACCTGTTCATGTAGTCCATCTAAGAGACGAGCAGAAGCCGCTATATTTAGCTTATGGCGGAAAACAGCTAACTCTTACCCATCAAGGTCTGTGGAGTCACAGGTATGCCGTTGAATTGGCAATTGCACAAGAGGTCATGCAATACTGCTGGGAGTCGGCAGTGCGTGAAGGCCTGCCAGAGTGACCTCATGCAGAGCTGCTCATTTTGGTTTAAAAAATGGCGTATGCATCCTTTGGTATTTTCTGTTCGTGTTTCTTTTTTATCTACACAGTTGTGTCTCGTTCGACGCTAATCAGCCTAATGCCCTTCGTAAAGTAACAGACATGTGTGATCGCAACTTTTTTACTCACTAAACATTCTATGGGTTATAATCACCTTTTAATGTGTTCCTAACAATGTTATTCTCGTTTTTTCCCCTCCTTATTGTGCGTCTGTTTTGCTCCTCGAAGTTGCACACTGTGCCCATACATACCTCCGCCTCGTCACGTGACCAAGCCGAGCCACAGCATTATAAACCTTTTTATTTTCTCAGTCCGATCCTTTTGCTCGAATGCCATTTCCAAATATTGCTGCCTTTGCATTTGCTCACGTTTCCCCGGTGCGGCTGTCTCTTAAAGCTTTGGAATTATACGGCGTCGCTTCGTGTCATCTCTGGCAGCGACGGCGGTCCCCCTGCTCCTGCCTCGTCGGCCCCGTCCTCGTCGTCCCTCGTCGTCCCTCCTCGTCGCTCGGGTGTCGTGGAAGGGCTCGTAGGTATATTGAAACCTAATATTGTCGCTGAGACGTTGAAGGAAAAGTGATACCCTAGAAAACAGGCAAATAATCTTCTCTCACTTGTTTACCTGATGCACCTGTTCTCCGCTGCCCGACCGCACAAGACTCGC